CCAAGAGAAAGCACCAGACATTGGTGGAAATGGTTGATGCTATGATCGTCAATTCTGGTTTGCCTTTATCTTTATATGGTGAGGCTTTACTTTCTGCATGTTCATATTAAATCAAATCCCTCATAAGAAAGCAAAGCAGACACCCTATGAACTCTGGTTCAATAAGAAACAAACTTGACTTTTCTCAAAGTATGAGGTTGTTTAGCCTATGAACTCTGGTTCAATAAGAAACAAACTTGACTTTTCTCAAAGTATGAGGTTGTTTAGCCTATGTAAGACTGCCAAACCTAGAAAGAAATAAATTGGAATCCTAAACCTCCATATGTGTTTTTTGTAAAGTATGCACAAAACAATAAGGCGTATCACTTTCTACTAAGCTCTAATGAGATAAAAATGAACCAAAATGTGTTGACCGTCTTTCAAGAAGAGATGAACAAGAAACTTGTAATAAGCCCATTGAAAAAATTGTAGAACTAAGAAGAAGTAAGTTGTAGAACTAAGAAGTACTAAGGTAGTAAGAAACAATTCATCATACAATTTCAGGCCTGATTTTTATAAACACTTGATGGAGGCTAACCAAAAGAAATTGTTGGGTGAAACAATCATTGCTTCAAATCAAGAGAAAGAACCTTCCTCTGTAAGTGAAGCACTAACATCTCATGATGCTATGTTTTGAAAAGAGGTTGTTAATAGAGACGGATTCAATTCTTGCTAGTAATTCATGAAATTTAGTAGCATTGTCACTCGATCCACAACCTAATAAGTATAAATAAATTTTCAAAGGAAAAGGAATGTCAATGGTGGTATGAAGTGAACAAGAATATCTACTACACATATGCTACTAACCCTCGCCTCAGTTAACGAATTGATTATTCATCACAGTGTTTTAAAATGCAGGATGTGGACCGATGCATTTGGGGGGGAGGATACGGTGATGCAGCTCGATGTGGTCCAGATGCGGGTGCATCACCCTGACACAGTCAATAAATATATAAAATTTCTAAAAAATTATTAAAAACTAGGTTAATGCATAAAAAAATATGGAGGTGATTTATGTGATAGTATGGAATTAATTTATTCATTAACTCTAAAAGTATCAGATGTTGGGGATTTTGTATTCACTATGCCCTAATAGATCATAAAAGGCAATATAAAGTAGAAACCAGAAAACTGAAAGTAGCTTCATAAATCATTCAACAACCAAAATCACAAATTTGCAACCACAAGCATTAAAGTTACAAAATACAAACTAAGAGTCCATGAAGATTAAAGTGTTCAAAAGTATCACACCCAAAAGAAACAAATATCAATTTCTTCTCGGCCCTTAAAATCCTCGATTTGCTGTCAAAACTTCGTTAAAACTTCCTCAAATCCACACACAAAATAACCAAACTAACAACCAAAGATCAACCAATACGAAAATCTAAGAATTTCAAAACAATAAATTTCTGCCACTTGTTTTTTTTATCGATTTGATGAAGTAAAGGCCACGGATATGGTTGTTTTTTGTGGTTTGGAGGGTTTAATGCCCCCCCAAATACTTTCCCCCTTTTTCAAGGCTTAAAAAGTCGAAAATACCCATTCTTGAGTGGTGTTTTTACACATCACTCGCTAGCCGCATATGCGGGCTATGCATGATGCAGCCGCATATGTGGAGGGATGCGGTGCATACGCGGGCGCGTTCCTCCAAATCGCATATGCAGCCTCATGTGTTTATCTCGATAATATGTTAATATTGGGCCCAACTAGGAAATTGTGAATAAACTAAAAGCTTCCTCAGATCTAACTTTGATATGAAGGATTTGGTATCAAGATAGTGAGAAAGGATGACGCTTTGGTTTTGACCCAATCTCGCTATATAGAAAAGTTGTTCAATAATTTGAGCATGGTGATTGTAAGTCAGCACTCAACAATAGTTTTTAATATAAAGTTAATGAAAAATGAAAAGAGGTGTATCTCTCAAACTTAGTATGCAAGAGTAATTGGTAATTTGATGCATGCAATGAGTTGTACAAGGCCAAACATTGTGTATGCAATAGGTAAACTTAGTAGATATACTAGTGGCCCAAGTAGAGAATATTGGGATGCAATCTCTTGAATATATCTTAGATGAACTATCAATTTTGGCATACACTATATTGGTTATCCCACGGTGTTGGAAGGATATAGTGTTGCGATTGGAGCACGGAACTCAAAGAGTCACTTTCTAATTTCGGACGGATATTCACCTTAGGTGGTCGAGGGGTATCATTGGGCTCAAAGTAACAAACATGCATATCTTGTTCTACCATAGAGTTGAAGTTCATTGTACTAGATTCTGCTTATGAACAAGTAGAATGGTTAAAGAATTTATTTCATAGAAGTTTATATTGGCCTAAACGGATATTGGCGATCACAATTAACTATGATAAACTGTGCGACAGTTGCTCGAGCAAATAACAATGTATATAACAGCAAGCTAAACATGTTGTGCGCTGACATGGATTCATCTAGATGATAAAATATGATGTATCAACTCTAGAATTTGTAAGGTCAAATAAAATTTGGTTGATCCCTTGACAAAAGACCTTGCAAGGGAAGCCATTAGCCGGATGTCAAATATAATGGTCTAAAATCCGTTGAGTAACCATCAATAGGGGGAAACCAACTTAGGCCTTTTGGTACCTCAAGAAGTCGAGATTTGATGCGGTAAAAACAAGTCATCCGTAGGGTTAGTTGGATCACTACTCATGAACAATTTACTTATAAGCACCCATGCTAAAAAGATCCGTGTGGCGGGTAAGTCTACTGATGACCTGCATGAAAGGAGGTCGAGCTAAGCTCTTAATGATATCTAAACTGATATAGTTAGGGTGTTTTATATGCAACGGCACCATTGATAAACTCACTTATATGAGTGTGGAAGTGAGGCCGCTTCCTATGGGATTAAAATTGTACCTTGGACGCTCATAAAAATTGAGATATAAGCTCAAGGCCCATAGGGAGCTGGCAGTAGAAAGAGACACCAGAGAGTGAATGTCATTTGTATGTTGTGCTACCGGTATGTTAGATATAATCCTTGGTTCAAAGCTATATACTACTATAGTTTGATATACTTTGTAGTGCATACACTAAGTGGAGGTTCAAATCGAAAGATGCGTTCATGGTATGTAAATGATATATATTGCCTGTAGTTTTCAAGTTATTTTGAAATAAAGGAGGAAATTGTTGTCCTTTGCTTTGGAAAATACCTTGTGTTATTTGAAAACAATATCTCCTTCTCTAACATAGTATTTTGGAAAGTGTAATGTTATTAGAAAATGCATTTTGTCTTATTTGTAGAGAAAAGTAATGTTATTATTTATCCCACATTGACTATGTGGACAAGGGAAGCCTTACATAAATATGTGGATATCCTCTTTACTTGTGTTCTAAGAACCAAAGGGAGAGAATGCCTATGGGGAGCATGCAAACGCGTTTTGTGCTTCCCATGCTTCTATTGCCACCCTTAGCCTTTGTACGTGCATGGATCATGCTCATGGCTCGTACTCTTTTTACCACAACAAGCATAGCCACTAGTAGATTATAGAAGTTTGATGAATTTGCACAATCCCAGTGGAATGGTGCATTTCAGTGAACTGTGATCCATCGGATGATTCCCATGGATTGCACATTCCGGAGAATTGTGACCCGCTGACGAAGATGTGCGCTCTAGTGGACCGTGTGCTCTGGAACTTGTGTTCCACCAATGAAGACAACATAGCGTGTGACACTTGTTTTTCCAAAACCTAAAGGGACACCATGTGACTGTCGGCTCACATATGAAAAGCGTTACGACTGCTTTCACGGAACCTAAATAGTTACCATGTGATTGTTGGTTATCCTATTGCATGTCAAGTTGTAACAAGTAAGATTTTGAGAGATGCAATTCTTGACTTATGTAATCACGCGACGTAGGTGAAATGCACTTCTCTATAAATATGGACTTGTTTCTTCCAGTTTGTAGACAAGTTTAGCATATAAAGTTTTCTTCTTTCTAAAGTGTTTTGTATGAGAACCCTCTCTCTTTAAAAAGAAGCAACTCTGGTGCTCTAAATCTCACATCACTTGTGAATTTGCCTTGACGAGATAATTTTCATAATCTGCTTCCATGCATCCCAAGGATAAATTTACTTGGTAGAAACTTAGATGCACACTAATTCTTATCAGTAATGAACAAATATCGTCTTGAGAAAGCCATATATCGTGCCTCAGATTATTGAGATTGCTACATCATTTATTTCCTACATCTTTTATTTTTGCCCTGTTTCAACCCCCATTTCCAGCCGTAATCAAATTCCTTAGTGAATCCTTCAATGTACACTCACGTGCCCCCTACACCATATCCGCATGCATTACATGGGTTTATATGCATGTACCTCTGCGAAAATTAATGTTGGTTACAACAGAAATAGTTCCATACATGTAAAAATTAGGCATACACCTAAACATACCTAAGGCAACTTCATCATATGCATGTAAGGATTCTGGAGACGTAGATCCATACAATGGTGACACAAAAAATAGTTTACTCCGACATCAGGTCGTTGAAGTGTCCATACACTATAACTCTATAAGACTAAAATATGGCCATTCGTTTACTAAATTTGAATTGGCATAGAATTATCCATATGACAGCAGATACGGCAGCAATAAATCTTTAGAATACAATAAAGAATTGCCTACGAAGGGAACCGACTTCCTATCTTTCCCTCTTTGACACAAGAAAATAAAACCAGCATGAGGAACAGAACCACTTAGAGGTTTACTCGATAAGAAAAGTCCAGGTAACTTAGGGGGACAACTGGGTGGATTGATACCAACATTCCCTTGAAATCCAATGATTTCAATGGTGAAATCAGAAGTGGAGGCTGACCCACAAGAGTTCCAGAGATGGGTAGTATACTACTAGCAAAGATAATACAGGCAATAATGCATGAATCCAGTAACCATTGAACAATTACAAATTTAAGCTTACAGAAAGCTGCCAAATCCCATGCTACATACATAAGAGTAGGAAAAGGTTCAGGTACATAGTATTACACAAATATTGCTACAATAGAAGAAAATGAAATAATTTTATACAAGGATCACCTTTATATCCAAATCACATATACAAGATATATTTAACCAAGAATCTTTCATTCAAATTTCAAGTCCATGTCCAAATCACATTGCTTTACCTTAATATCAGACAATTCTTCCAAGAGGCCCACTGCTGCTTCATCAGCAATATCCTGTTGCTGAGGAACAACTGGAATAATTTCATGGTCTTGCTTAGAAGGCACTAATGTGGAACCAAATCTCACACATCTGTTCTGTTTTGCATATTCTATGCTTGGATATAATAAGAAACCAAGTATAATTACAAAGCTACTAACAATAAAGGTCTTGAAAGAGGCCAGACACATAACCAGAAGAAGCAAAACAGCAGGTGGCATGCAAAGAACAATCACTCCAAATGTTTCCAGAGGAACTTTATATGGCCTTTGAAGATCCGGCTTCTTAATTCTTAATCGAACAAAAGCCGCAAACTCAAGAAGCATCCCAACAGAATACAGGAAGTTCAGGAATTCGACAATCTCTTGAAAGCTCATCCAAGACAAGAAAATAACTCCAGTTGCAGAGCAGAGTATGCTAAAAGTGGGTGTTCCATACTTTGATCTACAAAGAGAAATATTTATCCGGTTTGTTATGGTACGCTCAAGCAAGTATTCATAGAACTTTGAAAGATAAACCCAATCAAATAAAACCAGAAATTAGAAAAGAGAAGGGCCTGTAATCCAACAACATGGGAAAAATGTGAAGTACGGAAATTTACGAGCCAAAAACCTTCATATGAGGAATCCAGTTCATTAACTAGACTGACCTGTAAGAGAAGATCTCAGGAAGCATTCCCATCTCACTCATGCCCAACAGCTGAAAGGCATCACTACTCATCTCTGCCTCAAACAAGCCCATATTTGACATGGCAGCTGCGACTTGAATCCACCATTTGAGCCAAATACCACCAATCAACATTCCAACCTCTGCAAAATACCCATCACTCCATTCACTCGTTGCCACATTCAAAGCACCCGTACCAGCAAGAAGAGGGATTAAATATGACGAGACCACCAAAACAACAGCCCCACATAAGGCTTTCGGGAAAGTCTTGCTAGGATTCTCAACTTCCCCTGCCAGAGTACTTGCCTTATCCCAATAATTCAAATTCCAAAACAGGCTATTAAAATACCCCCTCCAGTCCACCTTCTTCAGATCCATCACTAGCCATTGGCTTGGCCTAATTCTGGGTATAGAGAGAAAACCCATCACAACAAATGGCAAGAGAGAGAACGTTGCAAGCCCAACTGCTGTGAAGCCAACAATGGCTAACCCTCTGTAATTCAAATATGTGAGAGAAACAGTGATCCCAAGTAAAGCGGGAATTCTAGCTATGGTCCTTTTGAAAATAGGGAAGGTGTGCTTCAAGTAATCAAGAAAGAGAACAGGATAAAGTGCATTGTCCATGACACCACTGAACCACTTCCAAAAACCCTCTTGAAAGCCCCAAAAGGGACCAAAAGCCTCAGAGATCCAAAGTACATAGCCTCCATTGCTAGGGAAGCTGGTTGCTAGCTCTGCAGTGATCAGAGCTTCTGGTATACTCCAAATTAAGGGGAAAATAAGGAAACCCAAAAGAGATAACAAGGGTCCCCCCGATTTTACAGAGTCTTCAACACCAAATGGACCTCCAGAGACGTCATAGAAGATCAAAGCTATCAGAGGCATCATAGTGAGCTTTCTGGTTCCCCCATGCTTCTGTGCTATTGAATCTTCTTCGACTGCTTCTTGTTCCCCCATCATAGACCCTAACTCAAAGCATGTAAGGTTCACAACCCAAATGATAAATTGATTCAAACATTGCCACAAATGGGTGACAACATTGAGGACCGTGAATCATGTCTCTGCTAGTCGGTCGAAAACACAGTCACACGAATGGGTTTTTATAAAAATGGCATAAGCCAATAGGCTATGACTCCCCAACCAGCAATCATTTGCATTAGCAGAAACCACACATCAACCATCAAGTGAAAAACATGATTCACCACAACTGGGTTTTCCGAGAAATTACAAGATTTGATACATCAAAGCCCAGAATCTGTGATCTTGGCATTCCGTGCCACGATGAGCTATCAAATTCTTGGAAATACGCAGTCAACGCAAATGGGTGTTCAGGGACAATACACCAATTTGAAAGACAATGACCCCCATTTAGTAGTCATGGCTATGGCCATGGGTACAAGCAATAAAATCCTTCGTAATCACTGAATAATTGGCATCTCTGCAACCGGGTTTTCATGGAAAAATTTTCAGTAGGTCTATGCGTGTTCATTGAAGAATATCATGATCCAATATCACGGAAATCTTTAATAAATTATGGTTGCAGAACCGGAAGGAAGGGGAACTAGAAGAAGATGGACTCACCCGATTGAATAAATGGGGTGTTTGGACTTGGCCCCCATTGGGTTGGAATTTAGAATCCAACTGAGAATTGCAAAAAAAATGAATGGACGCCACATCGTTTCTCTATCATTTTTAAAGACATCACAGATCGATTCTTTCAAGTAAACAGTTTATGCAAGGCTGCCGCCATCTGAAAATGGGCACGGCCGCACCTCAAAAGCACAGCGGAAAATACTGTTTTTGTATGAGAAAACCCCCAAAGTCAAAAAGTGTTGTGACCACGATTACTACCTAGAGAAGATCTTACCGTGTGTCTCGTAATTATTAGGGTACGGGTTTGTGTAGAGTGAGGCTCTAAACAATCAATGTAAAGCACGCCTTCACATCGTAGGGAGGAAATCTTTGGAGACGTGGGTGGAAATCTTTGGGGTAGCCTTCAAATATATTTTAATTTTTAATTATAAAATTTAAAATTTAAATTTAAAAAGTAGTGTAGAGTGAGTAGATTTATAAAAACTTGAAAATCTTGAAAATTGATGGAACAAAAATTTATCATAAAATCGCAAGAATGCATTCATTCTAGAGTTATTAGTAAGAAGATGGGTATCCTCTTTAAGTTGGATATGGAAAAAACATATGATCCGGTTGAATGGGAGGTCCTTTTGGAAATTCAGAGAGGTATGGGTTTTGGTGAGAGATAGAGATCTTGGATTTTTGAGTGCCCCTCCTCAGCACATTTCTCAATCTTATTTAAGGGTAGTCCAGTGGGTTTATTTAATGCCTCCAGAGGGTTACAATAAGGGGATCATTTGTCTCCTTTCTCTATACAATCTATGCTGAATGCTTTAGCTTATTACTAAATGTCGTGGAAAATGAGGGTTATTTTAATGGATTTCGGGTTGCTTTGATATTCAAATATCTCATCTTCAATATACTGATGATACCCTTATTTTCTGTGAGGCAGAACCATTACAAGTTTCAAATATTACAAGGTTTTTGGATATTTGTGAAGCCACCTTAGACCTAAAAGTAAATTTTCATAAATCTTCCATGATTGGGATTAGCTGTGATGGAGGGGTGATAGAGGAGTTAGCATCTATTATGGGCTGTAAGGTTGGATCCTTTCCTGTTACCTATTTGGGTCTTCCCATATCTGATTCAATGCTATTTATTGCAGTTTGAGATATAGTGCTTGAAAAAGTTCAAACTAAATTAGATTTGTGGAAGTATAAGTATCTCTCTTTTGGTGGAAGGGTTGTGTTTATTAAATCTCGCAGTTTACCAAATGTTTCTGATTAATATGTCTGCTTCGGTTGCTCGAAAATTAGAAAAAATGATGCGGGATTTCCTTTGGGGCTCTAATTCAGATGGGAGGAAGTTTCATTTGCTTAGATGTGATAGGGTGTGTACGCCTAAGAAAGAAGGTGGTTTGGAATTAAGGAGGATTAAGGTTTTTAATCAAGCTATTTTATGTAAGTGGTGGTGGAGAAATTTAAAGCTAAAAAATCATCTTTGGTTCAAGTTCTCTTACCTAAATATGGGATTGATAGATTCCAAATGTGGTTGGGTAATAGGCATGGAAGAGAGGTCTCACAGGTGTGGAAGGTTATCCATAGATGCAGGACAATTGTTTCAGGGTATTCAAGGTGGAACAGTGGGGGTGGCAGTCAAGTATCTTTAGGGCATCATAAATGGGTAGGGGAATTTCCTTTGAAAGTTGCCTTTCTTGATCTTTTTGGATTGGTAACCCAGCCTAACTTGACTATTCGTGATGCTATAGAGAAAAGAGGTACGCAATGTTCTTGGAATATCTCCCTATCTTATCGTCGGCTAAGTAACCACCTTCTTTCCCAATGGTGTCCTCTAATGGAAATTTTGGAAATTGTTTATATTGTTAGTGATGCAGAGGATAAACTTATTTGGGAGATTGGGAGTGATGGGATGTTTTCGGTTAAGTCATGTTATAACTTATTGTTCCATGATAGGCTAAGATGGTCTAATTCCATAGTGGCATCTATTTGGAAATGGTCGATACCCCATAAGGTACAATATTTTATTTGGCTTGCTTCTTTGAACAGGATTTTAACCATCGATAATTTGATTAAAAGGGGGAAAATTTTACCCAATGTATGTTTGTTATGCAAAGAAGATGGGGAATTAGGGGCACATCTGTTGATTCATTGTCCTTTTATAACACTTGTCTGGTATTGGCTATTTTCCACTCTTGGGGTACATCTGGTACTCCCTCAAACGGTGGAAGGGATTGTTTCTCAACTGTCTGTTGGTCATTTGTCTGCGATTGGTAAGGTTATATGGAAGATATCTAAAAGGGTTATCCTGTGGGAAATATGGAAGGAGAGGAATAGAAGAACCTTCGATGGGGACTCTTTATCCTTTGAGAAGATTTTAACCAAAATTAAGCATTCTATTTGGTTGTGGTTGTCTGTGACTAAAGAAAGATGGGAGATTTCAATAGTTGATGTCATGACAAATCTTAGCAATATCTTTCTCCTTGGAAATACACATACTAGACCAAAGTGTTTTTGCGTGCCACCTGCAGTTGGTGGTATTAAGCTCAATCTTGATGGGAGTTCTTTGGGAAACTTAGGTATTGCTGGAATTGGTGGTGTTGCGTGTGATTCCTCGGGTTCTATTGTCTTCTCCTTTGCTGGTCCGATTGGAGTAAAAACAGCTAATTTTGTTGAATTGAGTGCTCTTTTGTGTGGGAAAATTATGATTGATGAGAATATAAGAGCTAATGTGTAGATTGAAGGGGATTCTTTGAATGTAATTAAGTGTTGCAATAACCAACAAGAGGTTCCGTGGGAGCTTCGGTCATTGTGGTTGCAAATTATGGATCTGGTTGAAACTATTTCTTTTTCATTCAATCATGTATACTAGCAAGCAAACTCCGTTGACGATTCTTTGGCCAAGGGAGGTGCTTCGTTACCTTCTCTTTTGATTTCTTCTGATGTAATCTCTTTTATTTAGTCATTAATAAAACTTTCGAATATTTGTCAAAAAAAAAATGTGTCATAAAATGCACTATTTCCAAAACTTGAAATCCATTTTTTTTCTCATGTCCATGCATCTTGATGCCGAGATTATCAATTTGTGGGTATTTAGACATTAAAAAAACCTCTTCTAGTGAAATTTTTGAGGTGGGCTCTAATTTGATTGTTTAGAGCCTTGGCTCTATATAAACTTTTTTCATTTTTAAATGTTTTGTGTATATTAATTCTATAAGGCTTAGGCTTTATGAAAATAAAGTAAATCCTCACCAAAAAAGCACTTTGGGCAGCGGAGCTCTCCATGATGGCTTTAAAATCAATATTGACCATGAAATTTGAAGTTCAAAAAATAATATAGATTTTTTAAATCCATGAGCACTTATTTTTAGGTCGAAATGGATGGTCTAGTTAATGTGTTACAATTTTATTTTATTTTAAAACTTGAAATCCTTTTTTTTTTTTACAGCTAAAATGGTTAAAGTCGAGATGATCGATTTAAAAGTTTTTCAATGACAGAACTACAATTTTTGGTGAGGTGAGGTGAGGCTTTATTTATTTTGGTAAGGTTGCAACCATTTAAAAATCGCCAAGTCGAACCGGACTCGCCCAGTTCACCTCAGGAATCGCCACCAGACGAGCCGGTTTCATACATAAAACGGGAATCGCCCGTGTCCAGAGAGAACCGGGCGATTCCCAATAGTAGACTCGCGATTCCGTCCGAGTCAGACTGAGTCACCCGGAACAACACTGGCTGCACAGTGTTCTTCACAGGATTTCAATTTTTTTTGTCATTTTGTGATCGATTTTCAACGTTTTCAGCCTTATGAACGAATCTTGCAGGCTTTAATTCAAATTTTGAATCATTTTCACTCAATAAAAAGAATTAAAACCACCGTTTTTTATCAACAAATTTGGATCGAAGAGTGAGTTTTAGGGTTTCCGCCATTTCAGTGATTTCAATCGAAATAAAGCTTTATTTTTTGTAAAATTTCAAGCTGAGTGATTCTAAGAGTGTTGGTCAGAATTTTGTTTTCATAATTTTGTGATTATCTTGGAGGAATACATATCAATTTTGAGTTTGGAAGCACGGATGCACGAAGAACGGGTAAAAACTCTGTTTTTTTTTTTTTTTTTTCCGCCATGCGATCAAATCTAGTCAATATTTTACAAATCATATATTAAATTTATAGGGTTTTGATTCTTTGTAGTGTTGTTTATCATTAGATATATTCAATTTGGTTATATTTATTCAATTTCAATTGGATTTTATAGAAAATAAGAGTGATATCTGTTAAAAAAAAAGTTGTACAGTTTTTTTTTTTTTTCAATGATTTCAATTGAAATAAAGCTTCATTTTTTGTAAAATTTCAGGCTGAGTGATTGTAAGAGTGTTGATTAGAATTTTGTGTTCATAATTTGTGATTATCTTGGAGGAATACATATCAATTTTGAGTTTGAAGGCACGGATGCACGAAGAACAGGTAAAAACTCTGTTGTTTTTCTTTTTTTTTCGCCATGCAATCAAATCCAGTCAATATTTTACAAATCATGTATTAAATTTATAGGGTTTTGATTCTTTATAGTGTTGTTTATCATTAGATATATTCAATTTGATTATATTTATTCAATTTCAGTTGGATTTTATATAAAATAAGAGTGATGTCTGTTAAATAAAAAGTGAACTGTTTTTTTTGTCTTCTTTCAGTGATTTCAATGGAAATAAAGCTTCATTTTTTGTAAAATTTCAGGCTGAGTGATTGTAAGAGTGTTGGCCAGAATTTTGTGTTCATAATTTGTGATTATCTTGGAGGAACACATATCAATTTTGAGTTTGAAGGCACGGATGCACGAAGAACAGGTAAAAACTCTGCTTGTTCTTTTTTTTTCTGCCATGCGATCAAATCCAATCAATATTTTATAAATCATGTATTAAATTTATAGGGTTTTGATTCTTTTTAGTGTGTTTATCATTAGATATATTCAATTTGATTATATTTATTCAATTTCAGTTGGATTTTATAGAAAATAAGAGTGATGGCTGTTAAAAAAAAAGAGGACTGTTCTTTTTTTTTTTTTTCAGTGATTTCAATCTAAATAAAGCTTCATTTTTTGTAAAATTTCTG